ACTGAGGTTCACTTGAGGCCAAAAGCTTGTAGGCAAATACGGTAAGCAAGTACTCCCGCCTAAAGCTCGGCCGAAGACGATACAGCACCCTATGAGTCCTTGAGCATATTGATGCAGTATGAGCGTTCCATGAGAGATCTCCTGACAGACACCTCCAAGTCCTTAACCAAACCAACTAACGGGGTCACTCTACCATCAGCTAGCAAAACAGACAGGGCGTCAGTGTCAATTTGCATGAAGCTCTGGCAAGTGGCCAGAAGTATGGTGTGCGTATTTTTCCAAAATGGATTTGAAAGCCAAACTCAGATGCCCAAGCCACAGCCCTTGCAATATCCTCATTAATCCTACTCACAGCCCCAGGGAGCTTCGAAGGCCTACATTATAAATTTACTTGTAATTAGTCCACGAAAAGTATACATGTACTATGAGACAGTACTAACAGAATATAATCTATAACTATTAGAAACAAAATTGGTCTCAAAGATGAGTTCTAAGGCACACGTGACGTGCATGAAAGAAAATCAGTCTGAGCTTCGTCTAGACCAACAAGAGCCTGCGATTGATCAGACAGGTACGAAGGTCCATTAGGCTCGTGGCTCTTAATAAGACTGAGTGGTTCATAGAATCAAATGCACACCTGAAATCTAACAGTACCAGTATCGTGACCCTTCGCATTCCATCCCAAAGCGAACATCCTCCGTCAACTTAAGGAGAGCAGACTGTGTACTGTAGCCCCTCTGAAAACCTAATTGCATAGACGAAAGGAGTCTTCGACTCTCCAAAAAAGCCAACACCTGTCATAATATAAGAACATTCTGAACCTTTGCAAAATGCGCCACATTTGGGACCGGACGCGCATCGGAAGGGCTGGCAAGCTGCGCTATCTTGGAAAGCGAGACAATCATGGATTGTCGCCAAAGTGCAGGAAATTTGCAGGACGCAAACCAACAATTGATAAGGTCGGTAAGGAATGGCACAATTGCTGCGAAGAAGCCACGAAAATACGAAAGGGATAACCCATTGAACGTTCTACCCTGTCAACGAACCATGCAATGCGCTAGAAAGAGAGAGAGAGAGAGAGAGAGAGAGAGAGAGAGAAAGGATGGGATGTTTGGCTAGGTATTCACACAATCGACCTGGGTTGTTGTAACCTCGGAGCTGGTCGTTCTCTGGGTTGCGTGTATGAATATTCGTGTGTGTGCGTGTGTGTATGTGTGTGGGCGCGCGTGTGCGTGAGTGTGTTAGTGTGAGCGTTTGGATGTAGGTGTGTGGGCATAGGTGTGTATGTAACTCTGCCAGTATTATGAGTTAGGGCTGGAGGTAAAAAGGATTCTTGTAAGATTCATCTGATATAAATGAATAAACTAGTAATCTGGGAGAGAATTCTATGTTTATGTGTATTTTATTGCATGAGTATAACATGTGTGTACTAGTCATTTCCTACCGAAATTCTCCACTTTTCCATGGATAGTCAGTGGCAAGACCTCTTCTAGGTAGAGAGTTTTTATCGTGAGAGTAGAGCAGAGACAAGCAGATGTATTGGAAAGTGTATTGGGTCGGTGTGTTAAGTGTTTTACTTACACATGCACATCTTCACACCAATTCAAAAAGGTTGTAATTTTCTTTTATACCAAATCAATTTGTATCAGTCGTTTTTTTTTCCTCGTAAGGGGTTTTCTTACGAGAGTTGCTTCCTATGAGTCACAAATTATATTTACGTCAGTGGCTCATAAATCGTGTGTTTCTTATTAATTTTCTTAACCTCAGTCCATCATACTCTCTGCTATTTAACGTAAATTTCATAAAAGTTCAATTTCTGATCATTTTTAGTAAATCAGTTTTATACTTAGCTGTGTAAGTATTGTATTTAAATTTATATTTTATTTTTTTACGCATCATTGTATTAGTTTTCTCGCGCATGTTTGTAATGCATCATGGTCCCCCTATTTAATTATTATTTAATAAATCAGTTAGCTTTGTCCATTAGACGCAGTTATAAGGGTAGCATAAGATGCCTGTGCTACAATTCAACTAGCTAATCCAAGATTCACCCCGACTAAAAATATCAGAGAAATACTCTCTGACGTTCTAAAATAATTTATGCCAATCATTCGCCACGCTTGATTATGCTACGAGTCACTTAATCTCGTTAATGGTGGGGTTAGTAACATCTGGCTTTGTATTCGTAAAGAGAAAGTACAAAACTATAAAATGACTATCTGAGTAAATTGGAAATATTACATATATCTTTGTATGCTAAAGAATAGTTAAACCATCCCGAGCAGTATCCTGAGAATGTAAGAAGGTAAGGAATATCAAGGATGATACGGAGACCCGTCACCGTAGATATGTATCCACAGAAAAGGTATATGAAAATCCCTGCCCCTTATCAGAACTTATTAAATCAATAATGTATTGGTTTCTTGATTAAAAATATGACTTATTATGTGAAGTCCTTCAGTTCGTGTCTCCGATGATAATGAGATAACTAAAGGAATAAATAAATATATCGTACCCAGATTAATTATTAGTGAAACAAAAGATTGAGATATATTCAAATTTATGCCTGATTACATTGGATAGCACGCAGGCTATAAAACAAACAGAAAAAAATTTTAATTATATTTATATTTACATAAATAACAATTATTTGAAAAGCAATTCGCCTATTACGAATATTATTCAAAGACGTGGAATTTTATCAATGATGAAACCAGTAAAATTGTTTTATTGAAAAAATTAAATAAATAAAATGTTGGAATCAGATCCGTAATAATTTGTAAAAGAGAAAAGCAGCAAGATATTCGTATGTGGAAAAATAACGTCATAGGGCGTTCAATTAGCCACGCTACAAAAGTCTTGTACTAAAATGAACTAATTCTACGAGTTTCCGAGACACCTAGTTGTTGCAACTAGCCAAGGGAAAAGTCTGCCGCAAAGTGTTACTGAATATTGAGCTAGTTAAAACAGTAGGCCTCAGATTTTCGGCGGCGTGAATTTATCATCTCTTTCTTGCTTGCTACAGGATACACATGTGTGGCATGGCTTGGTGTAGAAACATAGCACGACGTTGGCCCTCTCTTCGTGGACTCCTCGTAGCGATGTAGACTGGCCCGCGCAGCTACTGTTAAGGATTGGTGCCTACTTCAAAATTAAATTAAAAAAAAAAACCCTAACAAGAATGTTGTACTTTCCGTTTATTCATACAACTAGCGCAAAATATAATAATTAAAATGAAAATTTAGATTTCTTTTTGACGTGGGAGGAGGAAAATTTTTTCAATTATTTTAATGTGAGTAACGTACCGTTACAACTCATTAGGGAAAACTTTGTGGTCTTGAGGGTAAAAAAAGCAAAAACAAAATTTGGAGAGAAAATAGTTACAGAATAACAAAAAGGAGATCCAATACTTTTACCAGAAATCTTATCAACAAATTTAATTAAAAATAAAAGTTCATATAACAATTCACTCGATAAAAATTGCAAAATGCAATTATTTATAAAATTGAATGATGTACACATTCAGTTCTACTAAAAATTAATTGAATTCAAAGTGCTTAAAATATTATAATGCAAAGTAAATATGCTCTCAAAAATGCAAATTTGGCCTCAAAAGAGGCTCAAAGAGGTATAAAAAAAATGATGTCAAAAAAATGTCTTCAGAAAAACCTCGTATACTACTTATACCCCCAAAGATTGGTAGTTTTTTTACGCTATGTTATCCTTACGTTTGCAGGTCTGAATGCAACTAGTGCTGTTTTTAGTAGGGTGAAGGATAATAGTAAAGAAATGAAAAGTTTTGGTGAACGTCAACCCCTCTGGATTTCAGCTTATACCTGAACATAAATTACAAATATTTATACATATATATGTATGTATCTAACTATATTACAAAGTTGTTTATGTGTGGCATTTCACACGAACCCCACTGACCCCCACTACCCCCATAAAAATTAAAAATTTCTGTTTTTGCTCCCTTCTTTTGGCTTAGTTTACTTTTCTTATCTCGGACAGTTCATCGCTATCGACCTTCTACCTTTGCCTATATAAGCGCCGGCGTGTTGTGTAATATATTGTCAGTCGATAGTTCGACAGGTGACGAGTAAGTCAATATACTTACGAATTCTTGCGTACCTGCGGTAATAATTTATATTTTAAATTATATTTGTGTGTATGAGTTTTATCAGATCTCTAATTGTGTTTTTAATTTTATAGCCTGATGAGGCTGACACAAATGGTCAGCGTAACGTTGCATTAATAAATCAACATAAGAAAATTTGAATACACCTTGTATTTATCTATTTTTTGTATCTCGCCCCCAACGGATCACCGATCACCTTGAATTTCTAAATTCGTTGGAGGGCACTGACTAAATCAAATAAATCAATACATATTTTATGTAAATATATCCGTTATTACCTGAAAAAGCATAGTAAACAATTGCGGGGGTAAGCGCGTGTAGTGCACGGGAAGGTGAATCCCTACTTGTATTGATACATACGCATATTTCTAATATTTTGTATGTACTATTTTTTTTAGCTCACGTTCTTTTTATATGCGTAAATATTTGTTCTTGTTTAAATGTCTGGAAATAAATGTCAAAATAATTAACTTGTTCTTTTGGTATGTACAAAAGATCTTCGTTACCTTTACAATGCAAGAGCACACAAAGTGAGACTGCTATTCACGTAATATAACTGTAATTATAACACTGAATACATCGCTAAGTTGACTAATAGGTTTTTTTTCTTTTAATATAATTTAGATCTTACCTTACTTTTGCATTTAAAATATCTACAACAAGATAGGGGTTACACTTGGATCAATGTTTATGTACTAGATTAACTGTTTTTTTGACACTATTAGGTTAACACTATAAGTATCGTAATCTTTATCATCTGCCAACTTTAAGCTTAATGTTACTAATAAAGTTATAAAAAAAAACTTGAATCAAATGAGTATAAAAATCATGAGCTTCAAATGATCTTATTTTGTTTCAGAACCTGATGAATGGGAAATCAGCAGAACTGACATAGTTATGCGACATAAGCTAGGTGGAGGACAGTATGGAGATGTATATGAAGCGGTGTGGAAACGGTACAGCATGACAGTTGCAGTGAAAACTCTTAAAGTAATGTTAAAACAGTTTTTTTTTAATAATCTAACAGATTTTCTACTTGGGTGTGAATTTTTTTTTTTTTTTTTTTTTTAACATACAAATCCAAAAAGAGTGCTGTGGTTTGAGTGCAGGTAAAAATAACATCTTCATGCTTCATTTGACTGAAACATAACAGAAATGATAGTCTTGAAGCTTTAAACGTTTTGATATTACTATTAAATGTTATTAAAAAGTATTAAATACAAAAATGTTAGCTGTAATTTCATAAAAAAGTACAAGACAATATTGAAGCTCAATTTAGTATTGAAAAAATACTTTTTTTCAAGTCTTTGTTTTATAGTGCAAGATGCAATTGAGATGTTTTACTGATCGTGGTAGGTGAGTTATTATCAAGTTCATACCCTGGTTAAAATATTCAATTTATCTTATCCTAAAAGAATAATTATCACGTGACTGTCGGCAGAATACGCCGTGATCTGATTGGTCGTGAGGGACGAAAGGCAGTACATGTAAATGTACGTATGAGATTAAGTAGACAAGCGATGGCTTATCGAGGCCGTTTTATTCAGTTGAGCTTAGATTTATTTTAAAAATTTAATTATTCGATTTCGATTAAATAATTGTTAAAAATATGTTTAGTCAAAAAAGTTTGGGAGGTTGGCGCGTGAAGCGCGCAAGGAGCGGAGCCCCGTAGTATAGAGAAAATTTCCAAGTTAGTAGGATGACAACGCCTATAGCAGCACCAGTCAAAAAAAAAATTTTCAGCAGCCAAATATATTGTCAGTAAAAATTAATGTTTATACGACTTGAAAAACATTAATATCAGGAACATAAAATATGGCATCATATATTTACTAGAAGATCGTGCCGATAGCCTGTCCTTATAAAAATTAGCCATTTTTAAATAGTTTTATTACAATAGATAGGGAACGTAAAAGAATATCTACAGTAAAGTTTAGCCAAAGTTTATACAACAATCACTTATATTAACAATGAAATAAATTAACAAATTTCAAAAAATTTGAAATTACTTAACACATTACTACGTGTATAAGCTAAAAACTTGGACTATACATTTTTGTAACTTAAATTATTTTCTTTTCTACTTTGTAAATAACTATTTAAAGTAGTTTCTTGTATGAATTCAAATTGTGACAACGCCGACATCGCTGATAATGACAACCTAAACTTTTTCAGTGCCCTGGACTTATGATTTTAAGTGTAAACTGACTTATAATTTGTTATTTTACCCACCTGTGTGATTATGATGAAGCTATAAATGACATGACAACATACTCTATTTTATTAGATCGTAAAATTGTACAATGTTGGCAAATAATTTAACTAATTCGACCAATGCCTAATAGATAACTTCTTTATAAAAAAGTTATCAAACAGTAATTTGCTAGTACAATTTGAATTACGTTGGCCTAAAGTAACCATTTCTTCAGTGGTGCAATTATTGGGCAACGAGTGGCATTTGAGACATGGCTTACAAGTACTTTCGCACATTTATTTGGTATAATTTAGCTGTAAATGTAATGCTGCTGAATTTTCTTACGTGACATGAGTTGTAGGATAAAGAGTAATTGGGGTTAAGTGGTAAATCAAGTTTAGCACTTTCGAGTCTTAAGTTTACTCGGCTTTCGAAGCTCACTAGTTCAGGCTTTCTATAGATACTTACTAGGATGATAGTGAGAAAGATAAGAAAAGAATCCATGAGAGAACTCATAAAAAATCAAAATTTAACAGTAATTTAATTCTACCTTGGCGCCTAGCTACACTAGAGTAGTTCTATCATAGCTAATATATTCTACTAGATCACGTGTCATTATAGGGAATTAACTCAATCTTTGCAGAATCTGTGGTCTGTATGATTTTGAGATAGCCGGATAATCGGGACGGAGGAGAGGATGGCAGGCAGGCACACACAGGGAGCTATATATCGAGATGCACATTGACAAACTAACGCACATTGCGTAAACCACTAGAAATAAAGGCACAATCACATATTAATTGATTATCATGTTTAATAAAAAATAACAAATGCACAAATGATATATTTCAAACGTGAATGAGAAACAAGAAACCGTAATATTAATACTTGCACGCAATGGATAACGAACGCATTGCAGAGCACGGGAGCTGCTCACTCCGCCTATACCTACTAGAGCTCAGCGCAGACTGACTGCTACAGTCACGCAGCCAGCCAAGGAGCTTCCTAACACATGTATATAGCTAACTACTACGGCGCGGCAGCGGACACGATACGCGGCAATTTCAAAATATAATATGGATACTATACATACCCCCGGGTTGATGCGACGAGGGACTAAGAAGCATCAAAAAAGTAAGATCATTGAACAAAAAAAGGCATCAAACAAAATAAAATGTTAGTTTAACCAATTCGGAATAATAAGACTTAAATAAAGCTTTCCCCCTGGGTTGATGTAACGAGTGGGAAGCGAGTAACATCAAAATATTAGCACAAATATTGTATGAACCCAATCGCGTTTTAACTAAGAATGAAGCTGACTCTAATATTCAATTGAAAATACTGAATCGACAATATAAGCTGTTTATGCATAAAGATCAAGCTAAATATAAATCTTATTTGTTACATCAATAATAAACAAATCTTTAAACAAACAGTTAATAAACGAGATATGAAGAAGCCGCTGCTCCTTTCACAATAATGTATTAAATCAAACCATATCAAAATGGCCAAACAAAATTAAGCATATGAGTATTTTTTCTCATCTGACGAAATTAAAAGCACCAGTTTATGGATGTTTCTGTCCAGGACATTAACAGCTGTACGTACCCTAGCTACCCTAACTAAAGCATCCTGCCCTGGGAAAACCTCTATCACTCTGCCTAAAGGCCATTTTCCTGGAGGATAATTTGCATTCTTAACGAGAACTAGTTCGTCCATCTTAATCGACCGTTGTTTAGTGATCCATTTTTGTCTGGACTGTAAAGAGTTGAGATACTCTAAAGACCATCTATGCCAAAAATGCTGCAAACTATATGACAATAACTTCAAACGCTGTAAGGCAGTCACTTCGCTAAATTCAGTTTTCGGTTCTAGAACTATATACGACGTGTTTGCCATCAGAAAATGCGCTGGAGTTAAAGGTTGTAAATCTTGTGGGTCGTCATTTAATGGCATCAATGGACGGCAATTGAGACAAGCCAATTCGCCCATTATCTGCCCTTGAAGCTTACCAGAATACCTCCTGCATGTGATGCACCTTGAAATCTGTCTCCTAACTACTTGTCGTCCGCCTAATAACCAGAATGTCTTTCTGATCGCTGTTAGAACTAACTGTGGGCCTCCATGAAAAGTATCGATATGATAATGATCAATTATCAATCTGGCAATGTGATCATCTGGGTGTAAAATCAAAGGGTGTTTCTGATCATGGTCGACCAAAGCTGCACTAATGCGACCTCCTACTCTATAAGTCTATATTGAAGAAACGGATTTAATTTAATTAAACTACTTGAACTATTTACATTGTTTTTGTTATCTACTCAATCTTCGTTACGCGTAAGTATTGATAATTCAGACGGAAAATGAATTCTCTGATGAATATGAAACCAGTATAACTGCGAATTTGCTAACTCAGACAAATGCAAATGTTTTGAGGTGACATTTATTACTATAGCTAAATCCAGAAATGGAAAACTATTGGAGGTTAGACAACTCTGAGTTTTTACTTCATCATTTTCAACTTGTCGAATTATCTTGGTTAAACCAACTACACATTTATTGAGGCACCGATAAATGAATCTCATGACATAGACCGTGACACGAAGTAATTTACTCCAATTTGAATATCTATCATATAATTCCCATGGTAAGAGCGAAGTATTGACTAAAACTGGGACTAACGGTTTTGGACCATCTTCAAATGCAACTTCCTCAGCAACAGTCACTTCTAGTTTTGGGTACACAGGATCTACTTCATGCAGAAACTCAGGTCCCTCAAACCAAATATTCCGGTCAGAAAGTTGGGATGGGAATATCCCTCTAGAGGTTGAATCTGCAGGGTTGTCTTTAGATCTAACATGATGCTACTGAGCTGAAGGAGTTAAAGTTTGAATACTAGCGCATCTATTAGCAATAAAAGTAGGCCATTTAGACGGTAAAGATTGAAGCCAGTAAAGAACGTTTTTAGAGTCTGTCCACAAATGCATCTTGGGACTAGGGAATTTGGCCGTTTTCAAATAATGTTCTACTAACCTAGAAAGTAGTTGAGCCGCACATAACTCTAGTCGTGGTATACTAATAGTTTTTATTGGGGCTACCTTCGTTTTGGCCGTCTGTAATGGAACATACACATTTTCTCCCCTCTTAATTCTCACGTAAACTACAGCCGCATATGCTAACTTGGAAGCATCTGAGAACCCATGGACCTCAAGTTGAACGACATGAGGGGTAAATAGATTCCAGCGAGGAATTCTAACCTGATTTAAACAATGTATCGCATTCAGCCATTTCAACCATTCTTTATTTATATATGATGGAACAGGGCCATCCCAAGAAGATTTTAGCAGCTATAAATCTTGCATCATTATTTTTGCTTTTATTAGTGTAGGAAACAACCAACCCAATGGATCATAGAATTTGGACAACTTTGATAACATTGTGCGTTTAGTCCAATGAGATAAAGAATAAGAAATATCTATCGTGAATCTAAATTCGTCTAAACTAGGACTCCATGACAATCCTAATATTGAAACTATATCTTCACTTTCTACTAAGTTTACCGATTTGTTCGATGTAATGGATTCAGGCAGCGAAAAGAGAAGATCATCATTGTTACTACACCATTTGTGCAGAGGAATACAACCTAGACTCGTTACTTTATTCAGTTGTACAATTTTCAATCTAGTCTCAGTTAATGTATGACCACCTGATAAGAAGTCGTCCATGTAGACCTCTTTTTTCAAGACCTCACAACCCAGTGGATAGTCTTCCTGATAAATCTCCGCTAATTGTTTGA